ACTACTACTACTACTACTGCTACTGCTACTACTACTACTACTACTACTACTACTACCGCTACTACTACTACTGCTACTACTACTACTACTACTACTACCAATACTACTACTACTACTACTACTACTACTACTACTACTACTACTACTACTACTACTACTACTACTAGCTCTACTACTACTACTACTACTACTACTACTACTACTACTACGACTACTACTACTACTACTACTACTACTACTACTACTACTACTACTGACTACTGCTACTACTGCTACTACTGCTGCTGCTACTACTACGACTACTACTACTACTACTACTACTACTACTACTACTACTACTACTACTACTACTACTACTACTACTACTACTACTACTACTACTACTACTACTACTACTACTACTACTACTACTACTACTACTACTACTACTACTACTACTACTACTACTACTACTACTACTACTACTACTACTACTACTACTACTGTTACTACGACCACGACCACGACACGACGACGACGACGACGACGACGACGACGACGACGACGACGACGACGACGACGACGACGACGACGACGACGACGGGAACGGGAACGGGAACGGAACGGGAACAGGAACGGGAACGGGAACGGGAACGGACCCCTGGGGCGTTCTCTTTTTTTCACGGGGGGGTCCCCGACAACGGATCGGGAAAGAGGGGGGGGGGAAGGGGTTCCCACCCACCCCCCTGGGGACATCCAGCGGCGCACCCTCGATATCCATGGCCAAGCCTCGATTGGAGTTCCACTGGCTTCCAGACCCTGGATTCCTTATCGGGTGGTTCCTCATCCAATGCCTTCACCGTTCCGTAGCCATTTTGGCTCAAGGCCAGGTCCGCCCGCTTTCGGGCGCGCGGGACCCAGGATGGCGCGGGATGGCGCGGAGTGCGCGCCAATGCGTTCGGCGGCCCAGCGTGCTGCGGGACGGCAGTGGGCTAAGTGGTCCGCCGACAACGCCGTTCGGCGGCTGACGGGCGAGTTGGGGAGGACTCGGGCCCGTCTGGAGGCCGCGGAGCAGGCCTTGGGCGCGGTCATCGGGGATGACGAGGTGGCCCACAGGCTGCAGGCGATGCTCCCCGCGCTGCAGGCCACGCTGGGAGGGTGGACCCCATCCTGGCTCGAGCGCCTGCGCCGCAACGTCGCCCTCCATGCCGAGGCGCAGGGCATGGACATCGTGGCGGCCAGCGCGGCGGAGCTACGTTCTGCGCAGCGGGGACCCCGGCTGGAGCGGCGCGCGGCGGCCGATGGCGCGCTGAGGGCGGATGCGCCTCCCTTCGTCCCCCTCGGCCCCATCGGCGCTGGCGCGCCCGGCGGCGGCGTGCCCCACACGCCGCACGACGCCAACCAGCTGCTGGCGGACCTCATCGCCTACGCCGCCCCCATGCAGGAGGCGCTTCTCGGCGAGGGTTGCCAGCACGCGCAGACCGACGGCATCGACGCGGAGCTGGAGGCCGCCGACGGCGGGAGCGGCGGGCCGCAGCTCGGTGGCCCCCAGGGCGCTGCGGCCGCCCGCGCCCGCGACCTAGCCGAGCTCCACGACGCCTTCGTGGAGGAGGTCTTCGTGTCGGCGAACGAGGCCTTCGGCGTCCAGGACGACCTGAACCAGCTGATGGCTGATCTGGCGGCGGAGCTCGGCGGCGAGGCCGACTCCAGGTACGCCGCCGCGGCGGAGCCCGGCCCTGGGACAGGTGGATTCAGCCCACCGAAGTCGCAGTCCCAGGGTCGCGGCGAGTTCGAGAAGCCGCACGACGCGGAGGTGAACGCTGCTGGCATCGCGGAGCTCGACGCGCTGTATGCCGCTGCTGGGGGCACGGCGCTGGTGCACGGCAGCGGCGCGCGGGCCCGCGGCGGGTTCGCCCAGGAGGCCGCCCTGAGCGGCGGCACTGCAGGCACCTCGGAGCCCATCGGGCTGTCCGAGGCTGCTGGTGGCGAGGTGCTGCCGCAGGCGTCCGAGGGCACGAACAGCAGTGTGGTTGCTGCAGAGGCCGTGGCTGAGCAGGACGCCTGCGCGGACCTCTCGGCGGATGACCTGCGGGAGCGCCACTCGGAGCCGAGCCCGACCGCGCCCGAGAAGGCCTCGGGCCAATGGCGGTCGGCATCGGACGAGCTCCGAGGCGCGACGTCAGCCCTCCTAATGGACCTGGAGGCGCAGCTGGCGGCCGTGTGGGCGCGCGGGTAGCCTCGGCCTGCCGCCCCCTCTTCCTGAATGCATGCATGAACCCCCTGCGCGCGCGCAGGGCCTACAGAGATAAAAAATGCCTTCACCGTAAGCCACCCGGAGGTCGGCGCAGTTTCTTCGGATCTCGAATCTGGAGCCCCCTCGCTGCGCCTCTGGCCAGACCCACCCAGCGCGCCAGGCGGCCACGAGGCGGCCACGCGCGGCAACGTGGCGAAACCTTGCTGGAGCTAATTGGTTCTTGAGCAAGACAAGCACAGCTCCTGGGGAAAAGCCAGCGATCTTGGGGGCGCAGGAGGGATGGAGGAGGGAGTGCGGGGGAGGAGGGAGGAGTGAGGAGGGAGGGTAGGGGACGAGGAGGAGCAGGAGGAGGAGCAGGAGGAGGAGGAGGAGGAGGAGGAGGAGGAGGGGGAATAAAAATGATAGGAGGAGGAGGAAGAGAAGGAGGAGGAGGAGGAGGAGGAGGAGCTGGAACTCCTAAGCGTAAGCACTGCTCCTGGGGCAGAACCATCGATCCTCGATCCCAGCTTCTGGGCCCCGGCCTCCGCCCTTGGCCATCAGCCCCCTCCGAAGACGACGCAAGCACCAGCACCACGACGACAACGAAGGGGGCGGCGACGACGACGACGACGACGACGACAGCAGTGAGGACGGCGACGGCGACGGCGACGGCGACGGTGACGACGAGGACGACGACGGCGACGCAGACGCAGACGCAGACGCAGACGCAGACGCAGACGCAGACGCAGACGCAGACGCAGACGCAGACGCAGGCGGCGACGACGACGACGGCGACGACGAAGACGCAGACGCAGACGCAGACGCAGACGACGACGACGACGACGACGACGACGACGACGACGACGACGACGAAGACCCCGCCGACGGGGGCCTCCAGGAGCGCTTTCGCCGTCGCCTCCACGCCGTTGGGAAGGGGCAGGAGAAGTGCATGGACGAGGAGGAGGAGGAGGAGGAGGAGGAGGAGGAGGAGGAGGAGGAGGAGGAGGAGGAGGAGGAGGAGGAGGAGGAGGAGGAGGAGGAGGAGTGGAAGGAGGAGGAGGAGTGGAAGGAGGAGGAGGAGGAGGAGTGGGAGGAGGAGGACGAGGAAGAGGAGGAGGAAGTGGAGGACCGTCGGTCCCCGCGCACACCAACGCGCCGTCTGGCGGCGGCGGCGGGCTCCCACGTGTGGTGCTCCCCCCCCCCGTGCAATGCCCGAGGAGCCCGCGCTGCCCCAGAGCCCCGGCTGCCACGTCTGGCATCCCTACGGGCGCCGGCCCTCAGAGCAGATCGGGGCCCTCGGAGGATCGGCTGCGCGTGAGAGTGGCCCATCGCCAGAGTGACCCTTGGTACGGGACGGCAGGGGTCCCCCCCGATCACGGAGCGCGAGGCGGCGGTGGCGTCTTACGCGCTTGTATTTGGTCCCTCCCGCGGCCCCGGAAAAGCCGCGCACCAAAGGTCACTCTTACGGTAGGTTTGCGTCGTGTCGGCCGCGGTGACCCCGCTGCCAGCGTTCAACGTTGAACGCCGCCAGCGACGCAGAATCGGTCGATGTTGTTGAACGATCGGACGTTTCGGAAACTGCCGATCGTTCCAGGTTGAAAGATCCCCGCGGTGTCAGGAACCAAAGCCGGGATCGACACGACACAAGCCCGCCTTACCCGGGGTCACTCTTGCCAAGCGGTGGCGAAGCGTCCTGGCTCCCCTATAGCCCTACCAAACAATGTTCTAAGAACCTTTTGTGGTTTCCGCGAAATGTTCTTAGAACATTTCTGGCGGAGTCTTTCTTGTTTTATCACATCGGGCTTATGTTCTAAGAACATTGCTTCTGTTGTTTATAACATTTTTTGGGGGGGTTAAGAACATTTCGTGGTAGGACTATAGGAATGCCGGGCCGGTCGGTCCGTGCTCAATCTTGCGTGTGGCCGAAGGATCGGCTGCGCGTGAGAGTGACCTTTTCGCCGGCTCGACCTCTGGTGCGGGCCGGCAGGGGCCCCCCCGGACCCTGGCTCGCACGCTTGGTTCTGGCCCCGCCGCGCCCCCCTCTGTTGGCATCGCTCGGGCGTGTGCGTTTTTCCTTCGGCGAAGACCATCGAGCAGCGTGTTCTGACCATCCTGCCACAAAGTGCACGCACGGAATCGACAAGTGCACGGGGAATGGACGTCCGAGCGATGCCGAGCCAAAGCCGCGCACCCGAGGTCCCTCTTGCCTGGGGGGGCACTCTTGCAGGTAGCCGAAGGGACCGGTGAGGCGTTCCAGAGCGGCCTCGCCTTCGTGGATCGAACGAGTGGGCATCTCTGCCTCGGCGGATGGCGGCGGAAGCAAACATCGGCGCCCACAGAGATGTCGAAGTAGTTTGGCTCAGGGCTTCAGGTAGCGATGCCGCCGGAACCCTCTAGGTAGCGACCCTCAGACCCAGACCCCCGCGAGCCATGAGAAGCGCGACCGAAGGCTTTTCGCTAGTCGGCGTCGGGGGGCCCGTGCCGGGCCTCAAGGCGGCTCCAGGGAGTGGGTCGAGACCTCTGGGGGTCGACGCTGTGGCAAAAAATGATGGGGGTCCTGGGGAGGAGGGGGATGTAGCCTTAAGTCGGGCCCGTCCCTCTACAGGGGGAATATTCAAAGGTAGTCAAAAAATAGTCTGGGGACTATCTTTGGAGCATTTTTTTGTTATTCGGGGGCATTTTTTGATTATCTTTTTTTTACGTCCAAAACCTATTGTTTGAACAATTTTGTAGCATTTTTGGGGGGGTTGGTTTGTTTTTCGTCGAAATGCCCCCTGTAGGGGGACAGGCCCGACTTCAAGGCAGCGATGCCGCTGTCGTCTGCCCTCGCCTTCGCCCTGGGGGGGGGGAGGCCTTCGCTTCGAGGCGCCCGTGGCCACGTTCGCGGGGTCTTGCCGCGAGGTCCTGGCGCCAGCAGGCGCCCCCACAGGAGTTTTGTCGGGAGGGGAAAACACACACCCCAGGAAATCGGGCGGGCGACGGCCAGAGGCTCCCTCCTCCTCCTCCTCCTCCTCCTCCTCCTCCTCCTCCTCCTCCTCCTCCTCCTCCTCCTCCTCGTCCTCGTCCTCCTTCTCCTCCTCCTACTCCTCCTCCTCCTCCCCCTCCCCCTCCTCTTCGCTCGCGGGCGCGGGGAGGGGGAAGACCGGGGGGAGGGCCTCGCACGTACGGAGCGCCTCGGGTGCACCATGCACCCGGGCTGGGTGCACGTGGGCCCCAGGCCCGAAGCCAGACGGGTGAAGGGGAGCCTCTGGCCGTCGCACGCCTCTGGCCGTCTTGCACAATGAATCGGCGATCCCTTAAGAAAATACGGGGAAGTATAGGAATTGGGCGGGAAGACAAACACCCAGAACATACATGGGAAAGCATGGGGAACTCTCTTATGTGTGTGCATTTATTTGTGTGTCCTTGGGCCCCTTGACAGAAGTTATGGGAGTGGCGGTGCCGGTAGCACTCGGTTTCCCCAGATCCGCCCGGTCGGGCCCCATCACGGGTCAGAAGAAGGGGGGTGTTTGGGTTCCATCGGGCCTGTCCCTCCACAGGGAAAATGTTCAAAGAGGTAGTCTGGGGACGAGGTCTACCATTTTTTTGACCTTTTTGGCGCATGTTTTTTGACTATCCTTATTTTTCCACGAAAATCCGCCTGTAGGGGGTCGTTCCCCACCTGATTCGTGGGAAGGCCCCGGGGGGGGTGCGAAGTCTGCTGCGCGCACGGCGTCGGCCCAAGGCAGAGGGGGGTGTTTTTTGAAGAGCCGGTGCCCTGAGACACATACGCTTAAGTCGGGCCTGTCCCTCTACAGGGGGAAAATTCAAAAATAGTCAAAAAATCGTCTGAGGAGGATTTTTCTGCCTATTTTTGAGCATGTTTGGGGCATTTGTGGTGTATTTCTAATTTTTCGCCCAAAATCCCCCTGTAGGGGGACAGGCCCGACTCAAACCTACCTACGCGCAGAGGGCTGGCGGGATTCCTGCACTGGCGGCAGACGAAGATCAGGCTCCACCCACAAGATCGTCTCTGGAAGAGCAGCTTCCAGATCGGATCTGGTTCCAGATCGGAGCCTCGGTTTTCTCGGTATACTTAAATAGACGGACAGCTCTGCATTCCAGGGTAGATTGGAGATGCTTTTGGATTTGTAGTGTCGTATCCTCCCCTTTCCTTCCGTTTTTTCTTTTCCGCAGCCTGCCCTTGCTGCCGCTGCTTTTCCGTAGATTCCTGTAGGTTTTGCAAGCCTAAACCTATACCGCGAGTTGAGAAGACGAGACTTGCAGAGTTTGTTTTCTTATGCTGAAGAAATGCTATCAAGCAGAATCTCTGATGTATCGAGCATGCCCGACCTTTCCTCCAGGCTGGCGTCTTGGCTTCGCGCAGGCGCTCCATGCACCACGGTGCCATCGCGTACGCTGCATCCTCGGGGGACCAACCTGTCCCGAAAATGTATGTTTGTCTGGTGCCCTACGCGGGCTCGACGCGGCCTCGACGCGGATTTCGCGTGTAGTCGACGCGGATTCCACACCGATTCGACACGGATCCGACGAGGCCGATATGGAGTCGACACGGATTTGACGCGTATAGGGCCGCGACGGGACAGACAAGGCTCCCCGAAGATGCAACAGAACATCGCCACATGCACCCCGCAGAGCCTCTCGGGGCGATTGCCGACTCGAGGGTCTCGCCAAAAGGCGCTGCTCCTGACAGTGCGCGAGCCGCCTCCCCCTTACGTATCTCTTGCCCCCCTCCTCCGCTTGTCCCACTCCCAAGTTGCCAGTGGACCCGGCACCTCGAGGCAAGGCGTTCCGTTCGACGAATCCAAGACAGGGGAGGGTCTGTGCCAAGAAGCGCCGATCGAGTTGGGAATCAGCTTGCTGGAGCTTCATGTTGCGGTGTGCACGCGCAGATGCTATTATTCGGCGCATTGTGATCCCCCTTATTCCTTCTCCCCCCTCTTGCTCCGTTCCTTCTCCATCCCTCCTCCCTCCCCTTCCCTCCATCCCACCCCCCCAGCACACCACAAACCCAGAAGTCCTCGTTACTGTAGACCTTGCAGAACCCCCCGCAGAACCCAGAGCTCCGTAGAACCCCTTGGACGCTCTTTCCCTTATCCTCCCCCTTCCCCTCCCGCCTGCCTGACCCAGCCCTCCCGTTCGCCGTCCCTCCATAAGGTGTCCCTTGATGGACCCTGATACGACGAAGGCCCAGGAGAAGATGCCTCAGGATGCGTTTGGCAAGATGGGGCAGGAGGATGGGAGCAGGGAGAAAGAGGGAGACGGAGGGAGGAGCAGGAGGAGGAGGAGGAGGAGACAAAGGAGGAGAAGCAACAGGAGGAGGAGGAGGAGGCGGAGGAGGAGGGAGGAGGGCAGAGGACCGAGGGATGATATGGGGGAAGAGGAGGGCGGAGGAGGAGGAGTTGTCAACGTTTACAGGTGCCCACTTGAATGTTGACGGGTTTTCTATGGGTTTCCGAAAGGGCAGGGCGAGATTTAGAAATCGGCAAGGCGGAGGAGGAGAAGGAGAAGGAGGAGGAGAAAGAGAAGCCCAGGAAAAAACGCCTTGGAGGAAGGGAGTTGGCGCCCCTGGCGAGCTGGGAGTGCTAGAATTATCGGCCTGTTTTTTTTGTTTTTCTGCGTGGGGAAACAACATGTGCTGTCAGGCTGGGCCCGCAGAGCCTGCCTGGGCCAAGGCTGCCTAGCAAGGGGGGCGGGGATGGGAGAGGGAGGGGAGAATGGAGATGATGATGATGATGATGATGATGATGATGATGATGATGATGATGATGATGATGATGATGATGATGATGATGATGATGATGATGATGATGATGATGATGATGATGATGATGATGATGATGATGATGATGATGATGCTGATGCTGATGCTGATGCTGATGCTGATGATGATGATGATGATGATGATGATGATGAGGATGATGAGGATGATGATGAGGAGGAGGAGGAGGAGGGCAGACACCCTCACCCTTGCGCTGCCCCTCCTGTCCTCTGCCTTGTTGGTTGTTGCCCTCTCTCTCTCTTTTGTTATCTTTCTCTCTTTCTCTCTATGTGTAGGTTTCTCTCTCTCTCGCTTTATGTCATTTGTTTTTCTTTGTTGTTCTCTCTCTCTCTCTCTCTCCCTCTCTCTTTCTCACGCTCCCCCCATACACTTCAGAACTATTTGCAAGCTTGCTTATAGTCTACACAGTACATGTATAAATATAGGTATCTACACATACATACATATACATATATACATACATACATACATATCTATATATATGTGTATATGTATATACCTGTATCCATATATGTATCCATATCTATATTTGTATATGTAGATCGCGTCGGGGTCCCCAGGCCCAGGGCCAGCACGCGTTTCAAAACTCCCCCCACTCACCGGCGTGAAACTGTGCTCCCCAGGGATCTGGGGGGCTCTTAGAGCCCCGAGGGGCATCCTCGACGGCCTCAGGGGACGCCCAGGGGCCACAATGATGGCTTTAGGTGGCGTCAAAGCCTCAAAAGGACACCAGAAGGCTTCAAGATGCCCCGCGCGACCTCCGGACGGCCCCAGATAGCTTCAGGACGGTACGCGTACCCTCCAAGACGCCCCAGGACGGTTGCAAGAGGACCCGCAAGAGGGCCCCAAGAGGCAAGAGTCGTCCCAGTCCTCAGGGAAAATGTGTATTGCTGCAAACTCGCTTTTTTGGTTTTCGCAGCGTCCAGTACGGCCCAAGAGACCCTCAAGATTTCCAAGAGACCCGCAGGATCGCCCCAAAGACAGCTAAAGAGGCTCCAAGATAGGCCACAGTCAGCTCAAAAACGCCCCAAGACAGCCCGAGATGCTCCCAAGATGGCCCAAGAGCGCCCAAAGAGAGCCCCAGGAGATTCTAGGGAAGGGAAACTCTAACTGACAGTTCGGGCCCTCCGCCACAGAAGGACCTCCGATACCGCCACGAGGCCCCACGACGGGGCCCCAAGAAGCCCCAATGCGGTGCTCAGAAAGCTCCAAGTCTTCACAATTGCCTCCAAAAGGCACCCCTGAGATTGCCCCAGAAACGCCAACATGCACCCAAGGTGCTCTGACCCGTAAGGCAGGCGCGGTGGCAGGATGGACCAAAAACCATTTGGAATGACACGGATTGAGCTATCCCTAGTCACTAGTCACTAGTCACTAGTCACTAGTCACTAGTCACTAGTCCCTGACTCTGTGCACTAGGCACTAGCCCTTCCTCTTTGCAGGGGGCCTGGCGGCACCGACGACCTCCAGCCTAGATTCCCAAGGCTCTTTCGTCGGATTCCCCGTCCCTTCGCTATCCGAAGTCCACGCTCCCTGGGTTGCCGAGTTCCTCGAGTGTCTTGCATTCGATCGCAGCCCATTGTGTTGCAATGCATTTGTGCTGCTTGTGGGTGCTTATCAGCGTAATATTTGCCATGTTTTTGTTTTGTCTGGATTTGCACTGCATCGCCCTGCCTTACACTAGCCTTGCTCGCTATTCCTTAACATGTGTTTGCGCTTATTTGCATTACGGCGGGTTGTCGCTACCTCCGCTTAACATGGCAATGCTTCTTACATGCCAGTACCTTTGCAAAACATTCAATGCATGTTTCGGCGTTGTACAGTTGTGCATCGCGTCGCTTTGGAGCTGCCTGGGCGTATCTGTTTTCGTGGTGTGTATACTCTTGGTCCGCCCTCGTGCTACTGATTCAACCCATGGCCACTTCATGTTTACACGTGTAAAATTGTCAAGGGCGGGCGCTTGCTAGAACCCCAAAGCGCGCGAAGCGCGCGCGCGCGGTTCGAGTATGTCTCTATGCGCGCGTCTACACTTCTACTTATTCGATCTCTACATACAAGCACAGGCGCCACTTTCTTTTTTTGCGGTCGACTCTCGCTCTCTCTCTCTCTCTCTCTCTGGGCCGCGCCTGTGGCATGGAGCGAGGCGGAGCAGGCCCCGACGCCTCGCGCGCCTCCCCCGCCTGGGAGGCGCGCGTGCCCCGCGCGCCCCAGGCCCCGAAGGGGGCGCGCGCGGCCCGTGGACGCCCCGCGCCCGCCTCCGAGGGGCACCCCCCTTGGGACCGCGGAGAGGCCGCCTCGGGCCGGCCACGCGCGGAACCCCCGCGAGCGCTTTTGTTCTGGACGCCCGATAGGGGTACGGAAAGGATGGGCACAATGCCCAACAGCAGTTCCTACTCATTCTGAACAGGGTTCGCTGTCCGCGCCGCCGCGGCCTGTGTCCATTCGAGACAGAAGGCCGCCTGCCCAACAGCGGCCGCTGTTGGTTTGGGACAGCATTTGTCGTTGGGCATTGTGCCCGATCTTTCCGTACTCATTTCGGGCGTCCAAATTTGTGACGCGCTCGCGCGCTCTGCCCAGACCCCCTCGCGCCGCGAAAACAAAAACAAAAAAAAAACACGAAACACAACCTGTGGGCCCAGCCCCGGGGAGCAGGCCGCTCGAGGACGGGGGGGGGGCGGCGGAGCTCGCCCCACGCCCGGGCAGGCCGCGGGGGGAACGCAGCGCCCGGCGCGCCTGCCCGGCCTGCACGGCGCCCATGCCCAGGCGCCGGCCGGGGCTGGGCGGCCAGCGCGTCGCGAAAAAAAACACGACGGGTTTTTTCGCTATGTTCGGTCTCGGGGAGCCCTTGCCGGGCCGTGGGGCCGTCAAGAAACGATCCCTGGGACGAAAAACCGGTCCTGGGGAAGGGGTCCAGACCTTTGGGGGTCGACGCTGTGAAAAAAAACCCGACGTCGGGGGTTTGGGTAACGCAAGCAGGCGTCTCCCCCTTAAGGCGCCGTCCCGCCGGCCCCGACTGCGTTGGCCCATGGGTCCCTCGGGGTGGCGGCGCTCGCGGTGGGGCGGTCATGGCCCCCCCCGTGTTCCTCCTCTTGAGCGGCGGCGCGCGCGCGCCAGTCGACCTCGAGCGGCGGCGCGCGGGCTCCGAGCGCCCTCGAGCGTCGCCGCGAGCGCGTGGTCTACTCGTGTCCAACCCGCCCCCCCCCGCGAAACTTTTGTTTAAATCGTGTCGCTCCCGTTCGTTATCGCGTGCCCACAGTACCGCATGAGCAGTCCAATGATCAGTCCTTTCTTCGAGGAAACGCAGAGATGGGAGGCGTTCGATGCATCTGCCGAGAAGATCCGTGACGCTTTGGTCAATTAATCCAGGTCCGCTCCCAAACGGGCCAGGGGCCCCTCAATTTCTAGCCATTGCTTGGAACCGCCCTTTGGGGGATCGATCTCCGGGAGCCTCGGCAGGCGGCAGGTACGGATTTGTTCGGGCCATGGGGGGGGGAGCCGAATGAGGCGCTCCCGAAAGGCAATCGCTCTCGAGGGTCGAAGGAGTTGGCGCCCCTTCCTCGGTGGAGGGCCGGCAGAAGGCGGCGGCCCGCGGCTGGCGCTCGCGTGCGAATATCCTTTCTTAGTGCTGTCTAAGCGAATGTGTCGGCAGCGTCTACGGGTGAAGTGTTGGCGATGAGACCAGTGCTGGATGAGACGGTGTCTGGTCGATCCCCTCCTCCTCCCCCTTCTCCTTCTCCTCGTCCTCCTCCTTCTCCTCCTCCTCCTCCATGTGGTGATCTAAGGTAGGCAGGTCCGCAACTGTGGAAAAAAGTTAAGGCACATCGGTCGCCGCAGGAAGCCTCGTCTGTTGACGGCATGTGGAAGCTCAGGGGTAAAAGAGTGGTCGACGAGTGGGCCAAGAAAGGCGCCTGCTTGTGGGAAGTTCCGGAGGAGAAGGAATGCTTTGTAGAAGCGTGTGGAAGGCGAGCGGAGCAGGTGGCCGTCTGGCAGCGCCACGTGCACTCCTGGCACCACGCCTCTGGTTTTCAGGATACCGACAGCGTCGGTGGCACAGCCGATGCTGTCTTGGATCTTGAGTTGGATGGGTCTCCGCCCGATGCGGAAGCTGCCGGCGAGTGGAGTACCCACTGTGCTACCAGGGAGTTCCTCCGCGGAGGGGTCGAGCCCTGCCGCCGGGAGCGCGGGCCCAGGGCTACAGCCGCGGTTCTTTCTGGGGCGTGTGGTTGCGCAAGCGGCGGAGCTTGGCTCGGGAACTGGCCCGCTGGTCTTGTTTTGCACGGGTTGCGGTGCCAACGTCCGGTAAATTCCACAGGAGTGGAGCGGGCCTTGTAACAGACGTCCTGGGTCAGCCACCCAGCGTAGTAGGATTACGAGAGGCGTCCATCCGACTTCGACCTTATCCCCGCCTCCTACGCTTGGACCCCTGTGTACCCCGCCGGTCGAGATCCGAGTTCAGTGGGTGGGGAGCGAGTCGAGGGAGAGAGTCCTGGTTCTGGCTGGGCCCTTCGCGTGTATGGTTGGAGATCCCAGAGCCGGTTGACATACAGAGCCGCGGCGTTGCATGTCTTTTCGGATTCTCGGGAGGCGGTGGAATGGTGCCGCCGAGAGCGAAGCAAAGACGCTCGCGAGACCCAGTCCCACAGGGAGGACCATCTTTCAGGCTTGATCTAAGTATCAGGTTAGCTGGCCGCGAGGGAGCTTGCTCCACCTTCCAATACGCCCAATACCCTCCTCCTCATCCTCCTCCCCCTCCTCTTCCTCCTCCTTCGCCTCCTCCTCCTCCTCCGCCTCCTCCCTCTGCTCGCCGCAGCGTCACACAGCGATCGGGCGGCTGACGCGGCGGCGGCGCCCCCAGCCCCCAGGCGCCGCCGAGGGTAGGTTTCTTGCGAGGGAAGAAGGGGAGGTAGGTACCATAGCTCCTTCCTCTTCTTCCTCCTCCTCCTCCCCCTCCTCCTGCCCCTCCTCCTTCTCCTCCTCCTCCCCCCTCCCCTCCTCGACGCCCAGCCCCCGGCCAGGAGTTCGAGAGCTGGGTGCTCAAGGAGGGCTCGAGCAGCACGAGCCGCGAGGCGCCGTCCGCCGGGCAATCTGCGCCACCGGCGGGCGAGGAGAGATGCCACGGAGAGGAGATCGGACCGGGGAGACGCAAGACTCTCGGGCGGGACGAAAGGGGGGAATCGGGAAAGGGGGGGTTACGAAATTTGCTGCATGCAGCTGGTTTCGGCCCCGCCGCCGGGCCCATTCCTCGATACATGGGCGCCTCCTGGCGCCGGGAGGCGCCAGGAAAATCAACTACGTGAGCTGATTCTCAAACCCCCCCTTTGCTATCCCCCCCTTTCGCCCGACCCGAGACTCGGGTTAGCCGGAACTCGGGTCAGCCGACGCTTGTTGAGAAGCCCGTCCTGGATTCAATGGCTCTTTTTCGTGGGATGTCTGCAGCGGGAGTCCGAGTCAGATTGCAGACTGGGTCTCGTCATTTTCTTGACGGCCCCGTCAGGCCAACCCGAGTCCCTCTAGGTAACCCGAGTCTGATGTCTCCCCTAGAGAAAGAGGCGGAGGAGGAGGAGGAGGAAAACAGTGGCCAAGCGTCCCAGCTGAGGCCAACCAAAGAATGTTCTAAGAACCTGTTGTGGTTTGCAAGACGTTCCTAGAACATTTCTTGATAAGACTGTCTTCTTTGAAAGCACCTGGGTTTGTTCTAAGCGTATTTCCTTGGTTCTGATCACATGTCGTCGTAGGCTCATAGGAATGCCTGGACGGTCGGTCCCTGCTCAAAGAGGAGGAGGAGGAGGAGGAGGAGGAGGAGGAGGAGGAGGAGGAGGAGGAGGAGGAGAGGGAGGAGGAGGAGGAGGAGGAGGAGGTGGAGGAGGAGGAGGAGGAGGGGGAGGAGGAGGAGGAGAGGAGGAGGAGGAGGAGGAGGAGGAGGAGGACCGAGGAGGGCCTCCGAGGACTGGCGCGGGACTTCCGGGGCGGTGGCCCCGATCGAAGCGGGCCGTGGGGCACACGCCCAGACGTCCCGCAGCGCGGCACCGGCGGCCCCGGCCCACTGTTCCCGCCGAGAGCAGGGGTGCGTCCTGGGGTCCGTCTTGGATGGGCCACGGGCCCGAGAACCGGGGGCAGCCCAGAGCGGGGTGCTGACTAGTGCAAGGGGGGGTATCGGGGTGGGGGCCATGCTATCTCCTCAGGCTTCATGGCGCCTCGGGGTCTTGTGCTTTCAAATCTCGTTGCTCCTGGCGGGCCCGCCTGCCTGGCAGCAGGCACGCCGCCCTCCCATTCATCGGGGCCAGTTTCTTTGTGCAGGGTTGAGTCGGGCCTGTCCCTCTATTGGGGGAATATTCAATTATAGTTAAGAAAATCGTCTGGGGACGCTTGCCTCACCATTTTTAATGGTTGTGGTGCACTTTTTCGGCACGTTTGATTTTTCGTCCAGAATCGGCCTGTAGGGGGACAGGCCCGACCTAAGTGCAGGGCCCGACTCGACTCGACTCGTCTTCGTTCAATACGTCCCCGGCCCCCCCCCTTGGGCTTGGCACGTGCCGCCGGCCAAGATATGTGCCCCACTCTTGCACGCCCCCATGTCACGTGAACGCCCCCGAGAGGTCGGGTGAGGAGCCAGTGGGTGTAAGGGATCTGGGGCCTGGAAGCCAGTGGAAAGCCAGCGGAGGCGTGGCCATGGATAGCACTGCCGCCCTTATCAGATAAATAATCCTCTAGCCTCCCGGGCGCATTCCTGAACGGCTCTCAAGGTTCAGAAAGACAGTTCTCGGGTTGGGAGGATGGATTTTGGGGAAAGGATCCGACCATCCATGTCATCGCGTATGTTGAATGTGCTAATTGTCGAGCATCTGGCCCAGAAACTCCTTCCCGAAACGCTGGGCCAGCGTTCCTTCACCAACTTGCTGGAACACTGGCCAAGTTTCTTGGGCACGTTGGCCCCTGCAGCGTCAACAGCCGACGTTGGCCCAGATCGCTTTGAGAAACACCCGGGAGGCTGGTCCAGATTTCTGAATATATAGCTTCTGTTGATCAGGTTATCGGCTGTATTGCACAGTCGTGCCCCGTACAGTCAACCCGCATAGTAAGGACGGGCAACCTTCCCAAGGGTACCATTGCATCCTGGCCTCCTCGGTGCATCCTTGGCCGCTGTCGTTGGTCGCGCCCCGCTCGAAAGCTTCGGAATGGGCTTCCAAGGGCCATGCACCCTTATCGCGCATCCTTACTCTGCGGCTTGACCGTATCTTCCCGACCCCTTCCTCTCAACCTCACACGTGTCGTTCTCAAAACCTCGAGATGGGTCGCCGTGCTGTGGGAAGCGGGTCCTGCGGGCAACGGGCCCTGCAGTTGTTTTCGTCGTTTTTTCGGGCTTCTCGGAGGCGCCCACGGGCCCCGGGACTGTCAGAAAGCGGCTCGGGACGAAGAAGTGGTCCTGGGGGAAGGCCCCAGGGTACACCTCATCCTCCTCCTCCCCGCCCTCCTCCTCCTCCTTTTCCTCCCCATCATCATCATCATCATCATCATCATCATCATCATCATCATCATCATCATCATCATCATCATCATCATCGTCATCGTCGTCGTCGTCGTCGTCGTCATCGTCATCATCATCTGTCTCCTCCTCCTCCTAAGGGCCCGTGTCCCCCATGCCATGCTAAATGGAGAAAGGAGAGGTGCCGCTGCTGAAACGAATCACGTCGCCGGTCGTCTGGGCAAGTCAGGGGGGGGCATGGTTTGATGCATACTTCGGGCTTTTCCGAGGGTGCAGATCAAGGGGGGACGTCATGTACACACCAAGGGGTGATCAAACAATCGATGGCTCTGGCCCTGGTGGCACCGCAGTCGTACGAAGCAATCCATGTCAGGAAGGCGGGGGCTCATCATCTTGTCTAGGCCTCCCTGATGGGGTCGGAGTAGACGGGTTCGAAGGGTCGCGCCGCATCGTCGATGCATCGGCGATGCGGTTCGACGTGGATCCCGATGTTCTCCACGCCGACGTCGCCGATGCATCGGTGATGCATCAACGATGCGGCGCGATCCTCCTGCCCCATCGAATGTTAGCCCTGGAGTTCTAAAGGGTGGACCCTCCCCTCAAGTTCCCTCTCAGGGGGGGAACAGCGCTCCTGGCGGCGAAAGGTTTGTTCTTCGTCCCCCGCGGCTGCGGCGACCACGGGGCTGCGGCGTTCCGGCTTCTGCTGCCCGCTGCGGTTCGCGTGACGTCGAGGGACGTGGATTCGGCGATCTTGGGCCGCTCGAGCATCTATTGCTCTTGGCCCCCCACATGGTGTTCTGATAGTTCTTGTGCTCACACTCTTGTCTGATGGGGCGGCGGTGACACCCATATGGCCAAGTCTCAACTGGAGCTGCACCGGCTCCCAGACCCTGGATTCACTGTCCAATGGTTCCTCATCGAACGCCCGCACTGCAATCCACGTCTTCTGCTGGGGGGGTTGGCGGGGGTTGGTCACCACGCCTCGGCGCGATACGCTATTCACTTCCCGGCCCCGAGGTGTCAACGGTCAGAGCCTTTCCAAGCCCCCCGCCCCGCGGAGCGGGGCGGCACGTCATCTACTCGCAGGGCATAGCGTGTCGCCGGGGCCGCCGTTGCGACAGGTGCATCTTCCGCGGGGGAAGGGGGGCGGGGGCGTCGCGCCCGCAGTCCTGCCAGAAGCACAAGGCCCGCGTCGACGACGAGTGCGGCGCCACCACGCGCCCGGGCTGCGGGGGGAGTGTGCGGCGGTGGCGCGCGGAGCGGGGGAGCATCCTATGGGGGGGTGGGGCCCCAGATCCAGGTCAGGTCGGGTGCTCCAGGCGCCTGCACGGTGCATCGGTGAGCTTCGCACACGGCCTGGAGATTATGGCGCAACCGATCGCATTGGGAGGGGGGAGGGAAGGGATGAGGAGGAGGAGGACACAGGAGCGAGAGGGACAGGCTAGATCCAGGCGACGCGACAAAAACCGCGACGGCCAGTTTCCGAGCGTTCTGGGATTCTTGTCTGTATCTAGATTACGTCAGGCTTCCTTGCATGAAATGGCCCTTCCTCCCCTTCCTTCCGCCGCCATGTCGAGCAACGCTGGGCCGACACTGCGTGCAAGCGAGTCCCAGCTTGCGTGAGGTCCAGGTTTCCTCTCGGGCCTCGCCACGCCGCCCCCCCCTGTATAATTACAGTACACACTTCAAGCCGCCACCGGCTACCAGCCATCACCAAGCTGCACGGACGCAGCCCAATCATGACAATCTCCCCATGTGTTGGCGATACACACCTCATGAACCGGATGAACCAGTGATCTGGGAAGAGGTGGTTTCTGTTGTACGCGGGAAAAAACTAATAAAAGGTACCGATGCCGCTACCTCCCAGACTTCTCCCAGGGTGCGTGCTGACCAGAACTTCGCGGCGGATCCAGCGGTGGCGACGAGAGCCTCCAGTTAGGCACAAAAAGGTGAAGACGCTGGAAGGGTACCAGTATGGCTACCTTTTCCTCCTTTGACCCTCCATGCAAGTAAACCTGCCGGAATCCGAAGATCAGCTCCTTCGTTCGGCCTGTCTGGATGCCGCCTCCGGGCGGCCCTGGGACTGTCGAGCAGCAGATCGGGCTGCAGAGCTGGTCCCAGGGAGAGGCTATCGGAGGCGAGCCAGTGCAGGCGACTACGATCGAAAGTCGGCCACGCGCAGAGGGGGGGGTAAGGGGAGGGTGGGGGGGGAAGGCTTCTGGGAAAAACCCTGCTTTCAGAAGGCGTGGGCCTTGTCGATAGATGTAAGGCCGGCGCTTTCTAAGAAACAGGCTCCTTCTAAGAAGCCTTCCCTCTCCCCCCACACACCCGTGTGCGCGCCGCCCAAAAGAAGGTGTGGTTACGCCAGGGTGTGGTTTGCGATCGGCGCCGTTGGGGCCTGGGTGGCACGGCACTGACCTCGTCGGCCTCCTCGGGGCGTGCGTGGCGGAGAAATTGATCGAGGTATCCGCCCGCCCCCCAGGGTGCCCCCTGTGGTGCCATTGCAAGCCACACCCTTTGCAAACCATTCGATGTTTTCGCGACACTCGATTTTCAGATCCTTGCGAATTCGAAGGCTTTTAGAAGATTCCGGCATGCGCGGGAGACGACGCGCGCGCGTGCACGTTGTCAGATGTTCTGCCAGGGGCTATTAAGACCTAAGGATGTTTGATAAACGAACGCGCGCAGTATTCTTTTTGACAGGGAACCGAGCGAGTGGGCTCCGATGGCCTGGGATGGTATGGGTTCAAATTGAAAATGGACCATGGGTCAGAATCGTATGCAAATCACAATGCGGCAAGCCGCGCCGATAGGACAACGGGGGTGAGAGGGGCGAAAGCTTATCCGTAAGGACGTCGCCCCCTGCTGCTGGCTCCCCTCTCTTAGAATGGAACTTGCCAGAGCTGCGTTGGGACGTCTGGGCGCTGACGTGAAGCAATGTGGGGATTTCACGCGAGGGCCAATATCGTATTGTACGGCGTGCATTGCAAACCTGAACAACTGACCTCGGGGACGCAAACATTGCATACTTTACAAAGTTGTGTTTTGCCTGGGGGGCGCAACTATTGCGTAATTTACGAGTGTGTATGGCCTCGGGGACGCGAATGTTGTGCAATGTATAAGGGCTTGCGGCCTCGGGGCTGCAATTTTTCGCTCAAAATTACAAAAGCTTATGACGTCGGGGGCGCGAATATGGTTAATTTACATGGGTGTATGGCCTCGGGGACGCGAACATTCAGTACTTTAATAGAGTTTATGGCGTCGGGGACGCAAGCATTGCGTAATTTACAAAGGTGTGTGTCTCGGAGACGCGAATACCGTTTAATTTACTAGGGATGATGGCTTCGGGGGCGCGAATATATTTGTAATGTACTGAAGTATACCGCCTCGGGGACGCGAATATGGTGTAATGTCTAACGGGTTAGGGCCTCGGGGGCGCGAATCTAATATATTTGTACGTGTCCCACGGCCCCCCAGGAATTCCGACCCCCCCCCCAAGGCGTGGTAAACAAAATCCGTTCGGGGCTCCCGCCCCTCGCTCGGACAGCAACAATTAACAGCAAGGAAGCAGAATGCAGGCAGTGGAAACTGTAAAATGCAACTGGAACAGGGCGCTGCAATCTTCACCGTCGCAGCCTGGTGGCCCCGCAAGGGGGCCGGCGGATTTTGCTTATTCCTTCTGAGACGGGAATTCACCTTGCCGAAGTTGAAGTTGTCAACTCCACTCGCTGCGCGTGCAATCTTCCCACCCACCCACCCACCCGCAACTTGGTTTGCAAAATCCATGAGACGGCGGGTGCGATGAGTGCTTGGTGCTTGCTGGTGCTTCTCTGCGGCCGCGCTAGCCCGCGCATGCTCGCGCGCGCAGCGGCCAGCTAGTTGTGCGCGACCGACGCAACCGCGGTGGCGTTGACCGCTGGGCATTTCCCAGCGGGCACTTCAGTGCGAATCGGCGTTTTGAGCGGGCATGGTATCATGGCAACGTCGACAACGGTAGACACGATGATGATAGTAGCGTTGTTGGTGACGATGGTGACAACGACGACAGCAAGGGCAGTGACGGCGCCAATGTTGATCACGTCGACGGCGGTGACGGCGTCCTCGCGTCGGTGATGAAGGTTTCGGAAAGAGTTCGACATGCGCGCGGGGCCGACGCGAGAGTGGCCCGCACTGTACTATTTGACACGAGTCGTGCCCCCCCCCCAGCACGCGCGCAGGGGCGTTCGAATGATTTCGACATGCAGCGCGGGAGGCCCGTTAGGCCGAAGTTGGCAAAATTGCTGAAACATTGCACGGTTCTTTTCTGACTTCGCACGAGCGTGTGTGCATGTTTTTGTTGAAATTCGTTGTTGCAAAACCATGTGTTTTACACGTTTGCGGGACCCGATTGTGACACCCGTACGAAACCTTAGGTTCTTGGAAGATGTCAGCATGTGCGCGCAACGACGCACGCGTGCGCATTTCGTCTCATTCTGTTGCAAGGGATTCTTGCGACAGCCCGCGCACATGGGCATTCGAACGACTACGACACGCTCGCGCGCGAGGCCCGTCTTGCCGAGCTTCAACACAAAAGTCAAGGAATGCATGGTTTTTTAAGAAGTCGCCAAGCGCAGGTGTTTCTTGATCACTGCCGTTGCCAAAACATGTGTGTTCAGATGTGTTTGGGATAATCGATTTTGAAATCAGTGCGGAACCTCTTGATGTTTGAAGGATTGCGGCATGCGCGCGCGACGACGCGCGCGTGCGAATGTCGTCCCATGTGCTGCAAAAGGCGTTCGAAAACTGCTAGTCTTTGATAAACGAGTGCGCGCGCGTACAATTTGATGTGGGGAGGGATACCGGCTTGCCTGGGGTGGTATGGACTTGTTTTCATGATTGTCGGTCGTGTTGAATCATGTGTAAATTGCAATGCGAGACATGGTCCCGGTAATTATTTGGGTTGGGGTGGGTAGGTCTTAGTGTTATGTTCGACAATAATCATACATGTGGTGCGATCTACGATGTGTCACATAGTTTGTGCAACATATGCGGTGCAATTATATGTGGCTCGACTTGCGTTGCGCAATCCATGCGGTGCGATCTACGCTGTGCAATCCATGTTGCGCACGGTTTTTTTTTTTTTTTTTTTAAAAAAAAAAAAAAAAAAAAAAAAAAAAAAAAAAAAATGAACAAAAATGTATTGCGTGCGCGATCTATGTTGTGCAATCGACGTGGTGCAATCGCAAGTGTGCGATCTGTAATTTGCAATCTGCATGGTGCAGTCTACGCGGTGCAACCTATGTTATGCAACCTACGCGGTGCAGTCAACCACTTGCTCAACTTGAAGCTGTCTTCCCCACTGCTCGTGCAAACATCCCACCCTCCCGCCCGCAACTTGGTCGCAATACCTCTTAAGACCGTGACGGTGGGTACCAACTGGCACTTGGCAACGACACCGACGCGACGACGACAGCGACAACGACGACGACGACGCCGCCGACAACGACTACGACGACACCGACGACGTCTCCAACGACTGCGACGACGACAACGACGACGACGACACCGACAACGACGACGACGACGACGACGCTGACGTTGTCGATGACGATGACGATGACAACGCCGACGCCGACGCCGACGACGACGACGACACCGACGACGACGTTGACGAAGACGACGACGACGACGACGACGACGACGACGACGTCGCCAACGAAAACGACGACGACAACGACGAGGGTGGAGGGAGGACGACGACGGCGGCAACGACGACAACGACGAGGGAGCAGGGAGGACGGCGACGACGCGAACGACGAAGAAGGAGGGAGGACGGCGACGCCGACGACGACAACGACGAGGGAAGAGGGAAGACGCGACGATGACGACGACGACGACGGCGACGAAATAGGAAGGACAACGACGAAACGCCGACGAAGACGACGGGGGAGGAATGACGACCACGGCGACAACGACGACTGAAACGACGACGCCAAGACGACGACGACGAGGAAAGACAGAGGACGACGACGACGACGACGCGGGATGAGGGAGGACGGCGACGACGACGACGACAACGACGCAAGAGCGCGCGCGCACGCTTTTGTTGAACATCCGCGTTGCGAAACCAAGTGTTTTTGTATGTTTTTTGGATAGCCGATTTTGAAATCCTTCCGAAACCAGAGGTTTTTGAAGGATTTCGCCATGCGCGCGCGACGACGCGCGCGTGCGCACTTCGTTTTTTGCAGAGGATTCTCGCAACGGCACGCGCGCAAGGGCTTTCCAAAGATTTCGACATGCGCGCGCGTACGAAGCCAGTTTGGTAGCGTTTTTTTTTTGCAAATTTTGAAAAACCTATGGTGATGTGTGTTCTAAGATTTCGCAAGAGCGCGCGCGTAACCATTTCTAGAACATCAGTATTGCGAAACCTTATGTTTTTGCATGTTTTTTTTCGGAACTCGGTTTTGAAACCCAACCGACACCGAAGGTTCTTGAAGGATTTCGGCATGCGCGCGCGACGACGCACGCGTGTGCACTTCGTCCCTTTTTCCGCAAGGGATTATTGACAGCTTATGATTTGTGATAAACGATTGCACGCGCATAGTGTTTGTTGCAAAGGATGGCGGGGGGAACCGATACGGGTTTGGCTGGGATAGTATGAACTCGCAGGTAGGATGGACATTAGGTCAGAAACCGATGTGTTTTACATAGGTGCCCGGGAAAGGATAATCCATATGGTGCAATCTGCGTTGCGCGGAGCAATATGTGCGGTGCAACCTATGTTGGGTTTTCTGTGCGAGGCGGCGTGCTCGCGCTACGTCATGTGGCTGCAAGTGGTGCGGCCTGGACGCAGCCATCGTGGAGCAGCAACACGAACGTCACGGCAGAAGCGGGCCCTGAGATGTTGTTGCCGCGATCACGCAGGGCGTTGTGTGCCCGGCCCTGGGCTCCAGGATTCTCATGGATGGGCCCCGTTCGAAAGCAGTGAGATGTTTTACAGAGATGGTGTCGAGGGCTCTGGTCTTGTTTGTGCACCATCGTTTGTTTTGATCCGCGTCGGATGGCAGGGAAGAGAGGAGGAGGAGAACGCGGAGGGGAGGGAAGAGGAGGAGGAGGGGGAGGAGGAGGAGCAGGAAGCCGCACGGCGGCCGTGGCAGCCAGGATGGCCGTCTGGGTGGCCAAGGACGGAAGCGTTTTCAGGGACGGGCACTTGGAGTTCGACGACGAGATGGTCACAGAGGACTTCCTCTCTCTCCCTCTTTCGGCGACGAGCGATGAGGGGGAAGTGAGGTGGAGAAGGCCCTCTCAAATGGCGGCGGGGCTTCTCGGAAGCCCTCCCGCCTTCTGAGCGGTTTTCTGCGTCTTCGGGGAAGGCTTACCAAACTTCTCAGAAGGCCAGGAGACTTCCTGGCCTTTTGAGAAGGCCTTCTGCTTCTCATTCCCCCCCAAGGTTCGCCGCCGATTCTTGCTTCTCCCCTCGCTCCTCGTCTTTGCTCCTCCTGATCCTCCTCCCCGCCCTGTCCTGCCCACTCCTGCCCCCCTCCTGCTCCCCGTCCTCCGGCAGAGGGAAACAATTAGTGAGCACCCCCCTTGCCCCCCAAGCTCAAAGTTGGCACGCGCGGGGGAGACTGCGGTCGAGGTGCAGCTCATCAGACCCACCCCCGACTTTGAACATTGGGGGGAGGGGGAAGGCGTTGACGCACGAATGTGGCATGAGTGTTCGCTATGTTTTCCCGAGGCCTGTCCCCCTCTGCCTCTCCCGGGCCCCTGACGTCGGGGTGAAACCACGAGTTGGACCCGCAGAGGCCTCGACCCCCTCCCCCAGGGCCGGCGCGTCACCCCGAGCACGGTCGCGCAGAGGTATAAGATCGAAGTCGGCTCGGGGAGGGTACCACCTGATGTTCTTCGTGTTTGTTTGCTGAACTCTTGTGTTGTGGAGGACGATCAACGGAGAGGAAGCATGTTGCCAAATAATTCCCGGATGTCGAAACCATCTGTTGAACACGTGTTAAACATGGAAGCAGGCACGTTTCAAACATGTTTAGGACCCGCGTCCCACCTTTCAAGCACACTCTGAGAGCTCAGCGACAGGACTCTCGGGGGGGCCCACTGCCGTGGCGTCCGCAGCCTGATGCTCTTCGTGCTTGCCTGACGCTCTCTCGTGCAGCCTGGGGGAGGGCACCCTCGGATGCTCTTCCGCTCGGCCGGCGGAGGGCCCCCGTGCCCCTGACATCGGGAGCCTCGAGACGGGGGTCCATGCAAACGGGGGTCAGCCAGGGCACCGGCTCCTGCAGGATCCTGCGAAGGCCCCCTCTGGCTGACCCGGGTTGGCGAGCCGCTCGTGGCCGCGAGGCGGCTGCGCACATTGGCTGACCCGCGGGTCTGCGAAGACCTGCGTTGCAGTTGTTGTCTTCCTGCATTGCAGTTTTCTGGTTTCCTGCTGACCCGGGTCTGGATTGGCCCGGGTCAGAAGGTCCTCGACCTGAAGGATGTTTTTTCTATCCTATAGGCTTGAGTCGGGCCTGTCCCTCTACAGGGGGAATCTCCAAACATAGTCAAAAAATAGTCGGGGGATTTTTGTTGGTGAGTATGTTTTGGCCATTTGGGCGCATGTTTTGCATATATTTTTTAATATCTGTCGTCGAGAATCCCCCTGTAGGGGGACATGCCCGACTCAATCCTAGGCCCGGCCGCAGCTTTCCACGGTCTTAGGGGCCCGGCATGGTCCTCCCTGGTCCCGCCCCTCGCGCGTCGCCGGAGATGCGGCACCTGCCTTGCTCACAGCGTGGACACCTGGAGATCTCGACGCCTTCCCTGGGGCCAGCTCATCGTCCCGAGTCGTCTTCTGACGGCCCCGGGTCCCAGCGAGGGCCCCCCATTTATCAGCCTCGAACGTATCCCTATCGATTGACACGCCAAAAGGCGATGACAATCTTAGGGATCCGCCCTCAAAAAATAAGGGAGTCCCTAAGAGTGGCATCGTGAGGAGGAGGTGCCCAGCATAGGGATAGGGATATGTTCCAGGCCGGTAGCCCCAGAGGCAGGAGCATGGCCTGAAGCCTCCCGCCGTCCTCTCTCCGGGACGAGAGGGTCCGGCCGCGCCCCTGCGGCTCTCACGGGCGCCCTGGTGGTCTAGCTTGGGCCTCCAGCGGCCGTTCGGGACGATTCGGGCCCCCCGGGACGCCCTCGGCGAGGCGCAGCCGCTGGAAGGCATCCTGAGGCTGGGAAGCCGCGGAGGACCAGCGAAAACGTATGAAAAAACCTTGAACCTGTGAGTCGGGCGCATCTCGCTGCAGGAGGGATATCCACAAATAGTCCAGAACTAGTCTGGGGACGATGTTCCTACTATTTGGGGCTATTTGGGTTTTTTTGTTGACTATTCATCCTTTGCCCACTAAAATCCGCATGCAGGAGGACAGGCCCGACCGAACCGAGCCTCGAGCCGACCACCCTCCGCTTCCGCCTCCGGGGCGCGCTCGCCCCGCCCCTCTCGCGCCGCCGAGCCGACGAGGAGACCTGGAAGGCCGTCAACGACAAGATGCGCTCCAGCACGCTCAGCGGGGTCGCCTTCCGCAGCAGCCCCAACCTGGCAGAGATGGACCCCCCCTCCCCACGCCGGCATTCCACAGGGGTGGGGGAGGGGAGGTAGGAGGGTGTGGTGAGGGGCGGGGAGGGTGGGAGGCGAGGAGGGGAGGAGTGGAGGAGTGGAGAGGCGCTGATGGGGGGAAGGTGGAGGGATCGAGGGGGAAAAGGCAGCAGGGCGCAGGATTGGGGAGGAGGGAGGCAGATGAGGGGGCAGGGGGGGGAAGGAGGGGGGAGAGAAAGGATGGAGCGCTGGAGGGGAGGAAAAAGGGAGGAGGAGGGAGGGAGGGAGGGAGGGAGGGGAGGGAGGAGGGATAGGAGGCAAGGATGAGGAGGAGGAAGAGGAGGAGGAGGAGGAGGAGGAGGAGGAGGAGGAGGAGGAGGAGGAGGAGGAGGGAGGAGGAGAGGGAGGAGGAGGAGGAGGAGGAGGAGGAGGGGGAGGGGGAGGAGGAGGGAGGAGGAGGAGGAGGAGGAGGAGGAGGAGGAGGAGGAGGAGGAGGAGGAGGAGGAGGAGGAGGAGGAGGGAGGAGCGGAGGAGGAGGAGGAGGAGGGGAGGAGGAGGGAGGAGGATGAGGAGGAGGAGGAGAGACCCCCCGATGTCAGTGATCAGGGCACGGTATTATCCTCCCTCCTCCCCCCACTCTGGAACGTAATCATCGGGCGTGGGTACGACTTCGCGGCCGCGCTGGGCGGGCGCCCCTGGGACGCCCCCGCGCGCGCGGCGGCGGCTGGGTGACGCGGCAGCGGTTGCGAGAGGAGGAGGGAGGAGGAGGAGGAGGAGGAGGAGGAGGAGGAGGAGGAGGAGGAGGAGGAGGAGGAGAAGAAGGAGGAGGAGGAGGAAGAGGAGGAGAGGAGGAAGAAGAGGAGAGGAGGAGGAGAGGAGGAGGAAGTGATAGAGGTGGAGGGGGCACGGACGGAGTGTAGGGGCAGAGGAGAGGAGGCATTGGGAAGATGGAGAGGAGGAGGAGGAGGAGGAGGAGGAGGAGGAGGAGGAGGAGGAGAGATGAGATGGAGGCTTGGGGAATAGAAGAGGAGGAGGAGGAGGAGGAGAAGGAGGAGGAGGACGGGAACAGGAGAGATGGAGGCAGGAAGGGCGCAATGGAAGGTGAAGAGGGATGATGTGATGCGGAGGAAGGGGAAGGAGCTGGAGGAAGGGTAAGGAAGGAAGAGGGAGGAGAAAGAGAAGGAGGAGGGGGGACTCAGGAACGGAGCGTGGAGAAACAGCAGCAAAGGGAGGAGGAAACAAGCAAGGGGAAAAAGGAACGAGGAGGAGGAGGAGGAGGCGGAGGCGAAGGGAGGAAGGGATAGGAGGAAAAAGGTAAAGGAGAAGGAAGGATACATAAAGGAAACAATGATGATGACGAGGAGGAGGAGGAGGAGGAGGAGGAGGAGGAGGAGGAAGAGAGGGGGGGAGGATGAGGAGGGTCAAGGAGGAGAGTGAGGAAGGTGGGGAAGGAGGGGTTGAGAGAGGACGGGAAAAAGAGAGGAGGAGGAGGAGGAGGAGGAGGAGGAGGAGGAGGAGGAGGAGCAGCCGAATGAGGAGTAGGAGGACGCCACCGACGACGCTCTCGCGGGTGGTCCTGGCACGATAGGTGCTGCAGTGAGAGGGGTGGATGGATGGATGTGGTGGGCGCAGGTCGTGATGTCTCACGGTGTTGCACTTTGCCCACGGCGTCGAATCTCGGGGCTCGTGCTCGCCCTCCCCTGCCTCTTCCTCCTCCTCCTCTTCCTCCTCCTCCTCCTCCTCCTCCTCCTGCTCCTCCTCCTCTTGCTCCTCGCCCGTGCGGTCAGCCTCGGGGGCGGCAGCGAGCCTAGCTCGGCGACAGCCTCCGCGTGCCCACGGAGCGTCTCGCGAGGAACCCTGGGGGCGGGCCGCACGATTTTGTGCTGGAGCTTGTGGGCTCCCTGGTCCTCTGCGTCTCCCGAGGCCCTTCCTCTCCCGGCTGCTGTGCCCCAGCCCTTGCGCGGCCCGCCGGCTTTTGCGATCGCGCCCGCGCTTGCTCCCGCTGCTGACCCAGCACTTACGAGACCCTCTGGCGGTGGCCGACCTGCTCGCCGTCATGTCGCGCGCACCCTCACGCCGCACAATACATCGGAGGAGGAAAAGGTACCCATACCTCTGCCCTTCGCCCGTTTTCCCCGATTCGGGTCTCCTGGGGGGCCTTTGTCGCCACCGCTGGATTCGCCTCGAAATCCTGGTCAGCACGCACCCCGGGAGAGGTCCTGGGAGTAGCAGTATCGGTACCTGTTTGATTTCCCCACTCACGCCGCACAGTACAGTCGGACCGAGGGATAAGATCGACACCGGTTCGGTGAGGGTAGCCCCTGATGCTCTTCGTGCTTGCCGGCTGCTCTTGTGCCTCATGGGGAAGGGTGCCCTCGGATGTTCTGTGTGTTTCTGGCCGGCGGGGGGTCTCGTGCTCTTGAGGGATGCTCTCCTGGCTTAGGCCCACCGTCGTCTCCAGTGCAGCGTGCCGCGCTGGCGGCTCGCGTAAGCCGCCGCGTAGGGTCGCCACCCGCTCTTGATCGTCGCTCGTGCTCTTGAGGGATGTTCTTCCGGCCTAGGTCCGACTGCTGTGGCCAGTTTGGCTCCGGCCGGGCGGCCCCGAGCGGCGCGGCGCCCGGGACGGCCCGCCCCGCGCGCGAGAGCCCTCGCCGAGGAGGGCGCGTCCCCAGGCCGAGGCGGAAGCGCCCCCCCCCCCCGCCCGGAGGCGGTACGCAGCGGCGGGCCCGTGGGCGGCTGCGGCCAAGCGCCCGCAGCCAAGTGGCTGGTTCGGCCACGCCCCTCCGCCTCCTCCTCCTCCTCCTCCTCCTCCTCCTCCTCCTCCTCCTCCTCCTCCTCCTCCCTCCTTCTCCTCCTCCTCCTCCTCCTCCTCCTCCTCCTCCTCCTCCTCCTACTCCTCCTCCTCCTCCCTCTCCCTCTCGGACGTTGCTTCTCCCCCCCCCTCTCTCACGAATTCGACTACACGTAAGAGTGACCTTTCGCCGGAGTGACCTCTGGTGCGGGCCCCATGGGGTTCCCCCATCGCCGAACGCGAGGCGGCAGTGTCGTCCTGCGCGCTTGTGTTTGGTCCCCTCGCGGCCCACAAACGCCGCGCACCAGAGGTCACTCTCACCCAAGGTCATTCTTGCGTGTAGCCGACCAGTGGCGGCTTCGTCCAAGCTTCCTCAGGTTTGTGGAGGACGATCAATGGAGAAGAAGCATGTTGCCAAATCATTTCCAGATATCTGAAACACGTGTAAAACATGTTTCAAATATGTGAAGCACATGTTTGAATCATGGTTGGAATATTGTCCTACATTGTAAACACATTCCAAATGCAATCTGATCGGTCTGTTAGGGTGTCCACTGTCGTGGCATCCACAACCAGAGGTCAAGCTCCCGAGTGGCCATGATGCGCGCACGGCGGGCGAGGCGGCGGCCTCGGCGGTCTCGCCTGGCGGGCTCGCCCTCGAGCGGTGGTCTCCACGGGCCCGAGGTGCGTCCAGGTCATCTGCAGGTCGCTGGTCCGCGATCGGTCGATGCCCCTCCTCCTGCTTGCGCGCTTGCCTTGTGGAGGAAGGTCCATGAAGAAGAAGAAGAAGAAGCATGTTGCCAACTAATTTCCAGATGTCTAAAACATGTGTTAAACATGTTCTAAACATGTAAAACACAGGATCAAACCATGATTAGGACATTTCCGACGTTTTAACCACATGTTTAAATTCAACAATAGGACGGATAGGGTGTCCATTGTCGTGGCATCCGCAACGCTTGCCCTTGGCGCCCAACATGCGATTCCGGAGTCTGCGCCCGTTGCCTGACACCGATGCACCGCTTAACTGTTGCGTCGCCGTTGCGCCAGCCCCCGGACGTTGTTCTTCTGCATCGCTTGTCACCGGTCTTGTGCATGTCGGCAGGCAAGTCTTACAGTCTTACAGACCCGTTCCGGGCTGAAGGCGCGAGGTGCCAGCAGATGTAGGATGCACTGCGGCAGCGCGACGAGGGTGCTCACCTGGACGAGAGCGACGCCAGGTTCGTGCTCGAGCTACTGACACTCTGGTCTCTGTGGGCAAAAGCCCTGTCGACGCCCGCAGGTGTTTTTGCGTGGTGGGCGCGGGGCCTTCAGCTTCACCCGCTGCCTCGAGAGCGCGCCCACGTCATAGGAGATCGCGCAAGATGCCGCATGCGACGCGCTCCTGTCCATACTCCGACCCCGCCTGGCTGCCTGCGAGGTTTGGGGCGCAGGTCGTCGACGGAAATTCCCCGAACCCTACGGGGAGCAACAGAAGCACTGAAATCGGACACGCGGTGTTCTCAAGCTTTGCGGCCTCACGCCCGTCCTCACCGAATTCCTTCTCAGAGTCCTGGTCGGCGCTTGGTACAGATAGGCGTCCAGATCACGAAGATAGATGCCACCGTTCCCCGCGCGGGCCCCGCGCGAACCGCCCGTCACACCGCTGCCCCACCGCATGCCAAGAACATCTACTTCGATCGTCACGACAAAGCGGCAGCGCCCTCGCCCTCCTCACCTTCTGTCACCTCCTCACCCTCGACCTCCTCAACCTCCCTCCTTGCTTGTTGCCCTCCTGCTGTGCCACCTCCTATTCCTCCTCGCCCTCGCCCTCCTCACCCACTCTCCTTGAAAGTCGCCCTCCCCCTCCTCCTCCTCCTCATCCTCCTCCTCCTCCTCTCCCTCCTCCTCCTCAGAGCTCCTCTACCTCTCCCCACCATTTTCAGGAAGGGTACGGCGAGGTGGCCACCCCGCTCGAGGCCAAGACTGCCTGTTGCGCAGCGATTCGTCGCGGACATCGCCGCCGCAGCCTGGCACACTGCTGTCCTCCCTTGCGAGCCCGCCGGGCCGCCTCGAGATGGATTCCGCGCGACCGGTGTCCGCGAGGGCCCCCGCCGCCCTCACGTCGCGCCTCGGCGAGCTTCTGCTGGCGGCAGCGCGGAGCGCCCGACGCGGTGCCGCGGCTGGGCGCGTACAGTCTGCCCTGAGCGGCTCCCCCTTCACATCGCACCAGCCCTGATAAGGCCGACGCTGCAAGGAGAGCGCCCTATCATTATCACCATCATGACCATCATCGCCGTCGCCAGCACTGTAAATGATGACGATGGTGATGGTGATGGCCACCTTTGCCATCACCGCCGTCATCATCACCAACACCATCACCACCTTCACCACCACCATGATTACGTCCATCGCAACCAGCACCACCCGAAGAGCCATCGGAGTGGCGGCGTCTGTGACGGTGGCCAACGCCCTTGCCATCTGCGAGCGTTCATTCTTGATCAGGCTTGCAACGAGGAGGTGTCCAGCTCTCATCCGTGTGCTCACTCTTCTCCTCCGATTCCTCGCACCTCCTTTTCCTAGCTCCCCCCCTCTAAGGCCCTGCCCTCACGTTCTTTCCCTTTCCTCATTCGTCGGCCCTCCCTTCCCCTTTTTTCTCGCGCGCATTACCCAGGCATCGGTTCCAACTCGCCGAATCACCGCTATGATCTTGCGTCAGCGGAGCATTCAGCCGCGCAACATAGTCGAGCTGTGGGCGTGCGAAGCCAATCCGTTTCAATTATTGCCTCCTCTTGCCCCACATCCCCGCCGACATCCTCCGCATCCCCTTCAGTCTCACTCTCTGTTATCTTGCTGCTCTGTCTTCATGTGCCTCACGACATCCTCCTCCTCCTCCTCCTCCTCCTCCTCCTTCTCCTCCTCCTCCCCCTACTCCTCCTCCTCTTCCTCCTCCTCCTCCTCCTCCTCCTCCTCCTCCTCCTCTCCTCCTCCTCCTCGTCCTCCTCCTCCTCCTCCTCCTCCCCTTCACCCCTCCCATGTCGTCGCCGTTACTTTTGTCATGATTGTTGTTACGATCGTTTCATTATGATTTTTCTTTGGCCAGCTCACGTAGTACGTTTTTCTCTGTCGTCGTCCTCCTCTCCCCCGCGCTGTTCCCTTCGACGCTTTTTCCCCGCTTTACGGGCGCGCGCCGCCCGACTTGTGTCTCCCAACGTTTGGCCCCTGGAGAATTTTCGCCCCCACCACGGACTCGTCGGCGTTCGTCTGCGAAAAACATATCGGTATCCGCGGCCCCTCGGGCCGGACCCCTGGGCCGCGACCCCGCGGATATGGTGAGCTTTTGACGCGACTGCCCCGCGCGGAACGCAACCGTGCGACCGCGCATCTGCGGGGGGCTTACGCCCTGGGATCCTGACCGCGAAGGCGCAGATATGGACACGTGTGCCGTACGTTATGTGTGTTATCCTGGCCGGTTTTTGACGGCCCCTTGGCCCAGAACGGCTTTCGGAGGCCCAGGCTGATAGTTGTCGTTGTGGACAATATGACGCTTGTGTATTGCGGGACCCAAGTTCCCGTTCGATGTTTCCTGTGAGCGGGGGGGGAGTGAGAAGGAGACGGCCCATTTCAGAAGGCGGCGGGACTTCTCAGACGCCCTCGCGCCTTCTGGGATGTTCTTTTGGTTTCTGCGGAGAAAGCTTGGGACACATGTTGTAGAAGGCCTGGGGACTTCCGAGCCTTCTGAGAAGGCCCGCCCCTTCTCACTCCCCCCCGGGGTTCGCCGCCTCAGGCAGGGGACTGTCGCACTTGTCTGTGGCAGCAAGGGAGGTCTGGGTCTGTCTTTCTCCCCCGCTCGCGAGGACAAGTTCTCTGGCCTGTCCTGGGGCGAGACGATCTCCGGCCGCCTCACAGCCGACGGGCGCCCTGGGACGGGGCGCGACGCAGTTGTTGAGCATCAGGAGGAGCAGAGGAGCAGCAACAACTCATTATTATTATCTATCTCTCGCACCCCGCGGCCTTGGTCCTTCTGCCCCTCCACCGCTCTATGTTCCCCCCTCCCTCACGATCGTCCTCTCCCATCGTCATCCAGCTCTTCCTCCTCCTCCTCCTCCTCCAGCTCCTCCGCCGACTGCTCGGTGCCAAGGCGGGCGCGCACGGGGTCTGGCAAGATGGACGTGGGTCCTTCCTCCTCTCGTCCTCTCGGTCGGTGCGCCTCCTCTTCGTCATCCTCGTCCTTCTCTTGCCCCCCCGAGCTTGCCGCCGACGTCCACGCATCACCGCAGGGCTGCCGGCGGCTCTCCACCGCTGCGGTCCGACACTTGCGAAACAGCACGAACATGGAACCCTTGACCACGTCTTTCTCCAGCAGCCTGCAAGCCAGATCGATCTGTGATGGCCCCCGGGCCCGATGCGAGAACAGACCGGCAACGCCCAGATCTCGGGGGCTCCTCCCGTGTCCACCAGCGCCGCTGGGGCACGGCGCCGAGGCCTCTGCGGTCCTCCAGGCCATGCGCGACACCTCCTGCCACGGGGGGGGGGGCAGAGCCGGGCACCGGTGCGCCGCCGCGCGCCCGCGCGCGGGGGCGCGCGCCCCGCCGCGGCGCGGCACCGCCGCGAGTCCGTGCTTCCAGCGGCTCGGCAGGATGACGAGCCCCGGGCTGCACAACGCGGCGTTTGACGCGGGCCCCTGCACCCGAGGCCTCAGGGGCCTGCTCAGAAATGTCGCGGTTGGCCCCCCCCAGGAGCGGGCGAACAGATGACAGCATGATTTATGATCTTAGGCTTTCGGAGCTTCGCACCCTCTGGCGGCGCCTCTAGCGCCGCCCCTGGCGCGCTCCGCGCGCCGGGGGAGGGGGGATCAGCACCGATCCAAGACAGCCGATCGGATTTCTGGAGAGCTGATGCTCCTGCCTGTTCTTGCCCCCCTGCGGCCAAGGCGATGCAAGAAGGACCCGCTTTGGGCTCGGGAAGGGCTCTTTGGTGTTTGGGCGGTCCTTCCAGTCGAGGTGTCCAGAGAAGCCCCGTTCGTTCCTTGTGCAGCTCTCCTCGTGGCAGCACGGTGGCTGCGTGCTCGGAGATGGGGCGCCCGCCCCACCCCCCGAGGAAGCGGGCTGCGGCCGCGTCGTGGTCTTGCGAGGCGGCGCCTGACACGAGCCATGCAGCAGCAAGAGAGACACCGGAAGCGCGCACGCCACAGGGAAGGGAGGGGACGGATGCGCCCCCCTTCCCCTTTCGGCACCTGCGTGCAGCCGCAGGTCAGGAGGGAAAGAAGCACACAGACACAATTCATCGTCGACGTCCAGTAAAATACGGGAAAATATGGGAATTGCGGGGGAAGACCAAAACCCAGAAAGTATGGGAAAATACTGGGATCCAGTGATTTATGTGCATTTATTTGCGCGTCCCAGGGCCCCTTCAGCAATGGGGGGGGGGCGGGCGAGAGCGGCTGTGCCGCCGCGAGTCGACTCGTCGGAGGCCCGAGGCGCGTCCGCAGGCGGGGCGGCGAAGCCGGCGCCCAGGAGCAGGGTGTGGAATCGGACCAGGGGCAGGACGCAGCGGAGGAGAAGAAGAAGGAGGAGGAGGAGGAGGAGAATGAGGAGGAGGAGGAGGAGGAGGAGGAGGAGGAGGAGGAGGAGGAGGAAAAGGACGGGGATGACGATGGCGACGACAGAGAAGACCGGCAAAATATAACACCCAATAATGACAGTCATTTGTCGTACACAGCACCCCGCAGCTGCGGATAAGAGGGAGGGGGCGGGCGAGGGGTGGGTCGCGGGGGGGTTGCGGGCGGGTCACGGGGTTGGTCGCGTGTTGGTCGCGAAGGGGTCGCGGGCGAGATCGACGACAGCAAGGCGGGGACGACGACGACGACGACGTTCTGGCCACGGAGTCCCACTTCAGCCACGCACCCAGGGACAGTGGGTGACCATTCGCCGCCCTCACTCTGATAATAATTTAAGCTAGCGTGGACCCCAAAGAGTGATTTCTTGCAGCATATGCGGTGCAATCCAGGTCGTACAGCCAATGTGGGGCAGTCCAGGTGGTGCAAGCCATGCATTGTAGTGCCATCTATATGGCGCAAAGCAGTTCTAGGCAGTGCCTTGCAATGCAACGCAAAGAAAAGCAATGCATAGGAATGCATTGCAATGCAAAGCAGGGCATTGCACGGCAAATCAATGCGAAGCAATGCCCGGCAGTGCAAAGCAATGCACTGCAAAACGAAGCAATGCGTAGCAGTACGCTGCAATCCAAAGCAAATTCAAAGCAACGCAACACAATGCAAAGACATGCAGAAATTCACAGCCACGCGACGCTTGGCGGAGACGAGCCGGCTGGGTCGCCACTGGGTCTTCGCGGCGACGGCGGCGACGGGCGTCGACGAGCCGGCGGGACCGCCACCGAGACCCGGCGGCGACGGCGGCGAAAGGGTGGCGCTGAGTTGGCTGGATCGCCACCAGTGCCCAGTTGTTTGAGAGTACAAGGAATAGCTCCAAGTGCAAGCACTGTCTGGGGAAAAGCAATGTTAGTGCGGAGTGTGCTTGCAAACGGGCACGGGATTGAGGGGCCCAACGACGTGTTCACCGTGCTCCCCTGTATTCCATTATATATTCGCTCAAGCTTTCACAGGTTCGCTCGCATGGGCCTCCCGCGCGGGCCCCTGACTGCCGCGGCGGCGGCCGCGGTCCATGTGGCGGTGGCGTTAGGGCTCTGGAGCTCAACACCCACGCCCACCTGCCCGCAGCCGGTGTGCCCGGCCCCCTTCTGCCCGGCGCTGGTCTGTCCCGACTGCGTGTCGGCGGCAGGGGTTCCGGACCCGGGGCCGCCCGGGGGCTCTGCGGCTCTCGGACTGGGCGAGGTGCCCGAGGAGCTGGCGGAGATCCGCTCGGCGGCGGTCCGCCTGGAGGAGCAGCTGGCGTTGCTGCAGACGGCGCTCGAGGCGGCTTGGAACGCCTGGCCGCTTCTGTGGGTCGTCGTCGGCGGGGCCGTGAGAGACGTGGTGGGTCGGCTGACCGAGAGGTGCCGTCGTCGCCATGTTGTCGGACAGGAAGTACCAGCTGTTCTCCTCCAGCGGCCTCGCCGTGCAGGAGGAGTTGAAATTTATGCGTGAGCTCGGACCGGGCAAGCGGTTCGCTCTGTGGTATGAGGACGACACCTACTGGCACGAGCGGGTAGCGCTGGCGGAGGTGAGGTCCGGAGTGTGGATCATCGTCACTCCCGATGGCGACCGCCACTCGGAGAACATTCGGTGCCGTCGTGGTACCTCGGGGGCGGTGCAGGCTGTGCACCTCGTCCCCGGCGCGGAGCTTCTGGACCCGATGAAGGGCCACTTCTACAAGTTCCGCGCCGCGCTCGACGCGTCCGAGCTGGTGGAGCAGATCAAGCTGGCGGAGGGCGAGTCGTTCAAGATCACCAGGCGTCGGCGGCCGGCGCCCGAGGCCATCACTCTGTGGGACGGCCAGGACGTCGAGTACCAGGCGCTGATGGACTCGGACGGGACGCAGCTCGTGCCGCTGGTGGTGGACGACGGCCGCGCGGCGCCTGGCGCTGCGCCAGGCGCGGCGGCCCTGCCGCTTGCCGCGCCGGCCGGCCCGCCACCGGACGTCACGTGGCTGATCATCGACCCGGTGCATCCCGATTTCGGGCGTGAACGGCACCCGTCCCCTGATGCTGAGATGGCGGGTGAGTACGCGATGGCTCTGGATGTCAATCGTCGGCCGGTGCCAGTGAAGCGCGTGCCGATCTCCGACGTCGCGACCTTCCTTGACGTGGTGCACATGCGGGTGCGCAAGACCTTGGATGACGAGGCTGCCGCCGTGAAGGCGGACGGAGGGCTGGAGGGCCGTTTGAACGATGCCCTAGACGGCGGCACAAAGACGCCCCCGGCCGGCGAGGATGCGAGGGCCCTGACGGTGAGCTACGACGAGCACGGGGAGCGCCACAAGGACTGGCGGTCAGTCTGCGCGGAGATCTCGTACAGCCGCTTCGGTGACTGGGAGAAGTACCATGAGGGGCCTCCTGTGACGTTGCCGTTGTTCAAGAACATCCAGCGTCAGGGAGGCGACCCCCGCCTGTTCTTTCCCATCTGGTGTCGGGATTCGGGCGTGAGCCCGCAGGAGCGCACGGGCATCGAAATGAAGCTGCTGCTGGAGATCCTCTACCTGAGCGGCTGCTACGACCAGGTCAACGGCCCTTCCTTGGCGAGCGTCGAGGCCTTGTCGAGGAGGGTGTGCCAGATCATCGAGGCCTACTCGACAGGGATCCCGGGCCGCGCCAACTGGGAGGGCGTGAAGCACTTCATGCCGCTGGCCAATGCGGCCTCAGTTGTGCCTCCAGAGCTCCGCTCTCACGCTCATCGTCGCGCGAAGGAGGAGGCGGAGATCGAGAACATGCGACTGAAGGCGCGTGGCCTGCAGCCTGCCGCGGGCGTCGAGGGCAGCCAGCCGACCCTCCCCGGCCCGGGAGGGGGCGGCCGAGGTGGCGGCCCTAAGGGCGACCCGAAGGGCGGCGGACGTGGTGGCGGCCCGAAGGGAGGAGCTGGCGCGGAGGCGGGGAAGGCTCAGGCCCCGGGGCGATGGTCGGGGCCGGCGCCGGTCGTGGTCGAGCCGACGCTGGAGGCCCAGACCCGGCGGTTGACGACGAGCGTGTGAGGCGCGTCGCCATGCTGCCGCTCTTCCCCATTCCTCTCGCCCCCGCGCCCACCATGCCCAGCGGACGTGGCCGACAGGCCTCGGGCCTGAGAGGCCATTTGCGACGACTGAATGCAGACGTGAACGCAACTGTGAACGCTTTGAATTGGATGGCTGGGGATCGACATCGGCCCGAGTACGGGCCACCACGCACCCCAGAACAGGCTAGTGTGCATGCGCGCGTGCGAGGAAGGGTTTTGTCCCTTTTGACCTCGGACGTCGCGATCCCTAGCCGGCGAGCGGCTTCTCTGGAGCTGCTGCACGGCCGAGCTGTGTATGATGCAGAGCCCGGTGGACACAACCTTGCCAGTTTCTCAAATGTTGCCTCTGTGAGCCTACCAGACAGCCTCGTAGGCGCCCCCTCGGTGCAGGAGGTTGTGGGCCCAGAGGCAAGCCAGTACTTGGAGCAGAACTACGAGCGCACGCTGCGCCCCTCATCGGACTTTTTGGAGCGACAGGAGTCGCTGCCCCCCAATAACTCCTTATTGGGACCCTGTGCTTTCTCGCAGCCGCCGCAAGTTTCTGCGGCTGATGCGGGCGCTCTTGCGGGTCGGGCTGGTCACGATTTTGCCAGCTGGCTTGTCGCGGGAGCAAGTCGGTATGTTCTTTGTAAAGAAGACCGGCAAAAGTAAGAGTCGTCTCATCATCGACGCGCGTAGGGCAAACAGGCGATTCGCTGAGCCCCCAGGAGGCCATCTCTGTTCTTCGGAGAGCCTCGCTAGGATCGAGGTCGCTCTCCCTCCAGGTTGCTCCAGTCTCACTCCTGATCAACTTCGTAGCGCCCAGATGTCCCTGGGGCTGGCGGATGTAAAAGACGCGTTTCATCGTTTTCGTCTTCTTCCGGGACTGGCCAGTTATTTTGGTCTGGGTGTTGCCGCGGCTGGGGAGTTGAACGCAGTGGGCGATATCGTCGGCGGAAAGATCTTGGGGATCGATGACTGCATCGACATCTGTTGGGCGTCTCTTCCAATGGGGTTCCCATGGTCTCTTTACTTCTGTCAGCAGGCCGGGGAGCATCGTCTGGGTGGAGTCCCTGGCCTTCGAGATTCGGTCCTTCTTCGAAATCGCGGTAAGCCAGGGGTCTTCAGCTTCGTCGAGTCGGACACGGGCCACGAGAAGGGGGTGGTCCTGGAGGGCTCAGGGGTCTGTCATTACATCTACGTCGACAACCTGGGTGTTCTCTCATGCGACCCCTCCCACACATCGACTCTTCTGTCCGACGCGGCGGCCCGCTTTGAGGAGGCGGGTTTGGTAACCCACGAGCACGAGGTGAGCGTCAATTCCGTAAAGGCTCTTGGGACTCACGTGGATCTTGAGGGGCTTGGAGTCTCGTTCGCACCTGCTAGGCTGTGGAAAGTGCGTCAGGGGGTCCTTTACGCCCTGTCGTGTCGGAAGCTGCCCGGTCGGGTCTGGGAGGTGCTGTTGGGTCACCTCACATTCTGTGCGCTGACCAATCGTAGCATGATGAGCGTCTTCAGGAGTATCTACGCGTTCATAAATAAGTACTACGCTACACCCATGCCTTTGTGGGGCACGGCTAGACAGGAGATGTCGACTGCAGCCTCTCTGTTGTTCTTGATGGATGCTTCGTGGACTTTACCTTGGTCCCCAAGCGTCGTGGCGACTGACGCCTCAGAGGGGGGGTTCGGGGCCACGGTCTCGGAGTGGGACACTCAGGACGTCTCGGAGGTGGGGAGGATCTTGGAGAGAGGTCGTTTCCGAAGGCTTCCTGGAGTTTCTGCTCGGGCCAGGTTTTTCGGAAGCTTGGGGGAACTGGGGTCCGACGAGGAGGAGAGCGAGTCTGAGCGGCCGTACGACGTCGACTCGGGTTTTCCTGAGGTCCCCCATGCAGTACTCACGAGGGCCCGCTGGAGCACCCTTCTGGCAGGTCCGTGGAAATATTTTGACGAGGGCATCTTTACCTTGGAAGCCAGGGCCCTGCTGTTGGGATTCCAGGCGCTGGTGAGCGAGTACCAAGTCAGAAACGCGAGGGTGCTCTTCTTGGTTGACAACATGGGGGTATGCCTGTCCTTCGCCCGGGGGCGCACCACGGACTTCCGGGCCCTGATGTGTATGAGACGCATGGGATCGTGGTGCTTGGCTCTTGGGCTGCGTGCATGTTTTCGATGGATACCTTCTGAGTGGAATACGGCTGATGAACCCTCTCGTCGCTTCTCATTAGAACATGTTGGCTCACGTTCTGTTCCCGACGTTGCTGGCGCTTCTGGCATCGTTCAGTACCCACTCAAATGTGATGATGAGAGGGCCGACTCTTGGGCCGGCCCGGGCTGTTCCTCGGGCGAAAGCGCGGCCAGGCCTGCTGCCAGCGGGGTCGGCTTCTGCGCCCTCAACGCCAGTGGCTTCGAGGAGTTTGGTGGCGACAGTGTCAACACCTTCACCCCGCAGGCCGACCCTTCTCCGTCGCCCACCGCCCGGGGACACGCTGGTGGCGAAGCTCGAGCAGGCCCCGAAGGAGCACAACGCGCCGGCCCTCGACGAGCTGAACGACGAGGAGGCCTCGAACGTGGTCGAGGAGAGCGACGCGACCTCCGACACGGTCCAGGCCCGAACGCGGCCTGCCCGCCGCACGCGAGTGTTGGCGGCCCCACGTCTGAAGCGAGCACGCCAACCCGTGGGAGCAAGCCGCCTACAAGGACTGGGCCTCCTGCCGCTGGAGTCGAGCGCGGTGCAGTCGAAGACGGAGATCCAGTACTGCGAGGCGGTGAGCACGTGGCGAGCTCGGGCCCGCGAGTTGGGCGAGCCTCTCGGCGTGGCTGCCGAGGTGGACGCCTCGGTGGCGCGGCAGCTTCAAGAGCTTTTCGACCAGGGCGAGAACCTCAGCAAGGGCGAGAAGCTCGTGGCCGGGTTGGAGCATTTCCTGCCCGAGTTCGGACGCCACGGTGGCCTTCATCTATCCCGCTGTTATCGAGCCTTGAAGGGATGGAGGCGCCGCTGTCCGCCGCGATCGCGCCGCCCCCTGGCCTTCAGCATCTGGGCGGCCATCATTTGGGAGCTGTGCCGTGCCAACTTCTGGAACATGGGGATCTACACGCTGCTCATGCCGGTGACCTACATGCGGCCGTCGGAGCCGCTGAAGTTGTTGAAGGAGGACCTCTTGGCACCAGCGCACGGACTCTCTGCCTCATGGATCTGCTTCGCTTTTCGGCAAGAGCGGGGAGTGGCGTCCAAGACGTACGCGACGGACGAGAGCATCGACCTGAGTTGCAAGTGGGTGCCCTACCTGTCGTCGGTGGTGGCGGCGCTCCGGGCTGGGGACCCGAAGTCCAAGGTCTTCAACTTTACGTACAGCAGCTACACGCACCAGTTCAAGATCGCCTGCAAGAAGCTCGGGCTGACGGCCGTGCCTTATCAGGCACGGCACTCAGGCGCCTCCATCGACTCCGCCATAAAGTACCGCACGAGAGCCGAGATCAAAAGCAGGGGAAGATGGAAGGCGGACAAGTCGGTGTTGAGGTACGACAGCAAGGCCAAGATCGTCGAGAGCGTGGACAAGCTGACCGGCTCGTTGGCGTCTCACGTGCACAGGTGCGAGCTCCAGCTCGGGGCCCTTTTGTGCGGCCAGATCGACCCCTCGGCCATCGCGCCGCCCGTCATCCAGAGCTCAGCCCCAAAGAAGCGACGCCGTACCTAGCTGATCTGTTTGGTGGCACAGGCGGCGTAGGGCGCGCGGCGGGCAAGTGCGGTATCCGAGCCCGCCTGTGGGACAAGTCCATCTCTGACTCTCTGGACCTCACGGTCCTGAAGAATATCCGGCGCCTGTGCTCAGAGGCTAAAAGCAATATGCTCGTGGCGGTCATGATCGCTATTGAATGCCGTTCGCGGGGTATTGCACGCCGCAGAACCAATGTGATCCGCTCGCGATCCGAGCCCTGGGGAGTTACCATGCCGGCCAAACCTTTCTCGGCCAACGACATAAAGGCCTTCAGGACCGGAAATCTCCAGGCCCAAAGGATCCTCAAGCTTATCAGGTAGATCCATGTTCTTGGTATCCCGTGGGCCGTTGAGAACCCTTCAACAAGTTTGCTTTGGTGGGTTCCAGGTTTCTTGCAACTCGCGAAGGACCCCAAGGTGTACGTTAAGATTATCGACCAGTGTGCCTTCGGTACTCCATGGCGTAAACGTACTCAACTCATGTTCGGCAACTGCGACCCTATCGATGTTACCTTGTGTGATAAATATATCTGCCACGGTCGGGGACAATGCTGCTTCTCAGGAAAGCCTCACGTCGAGTTGGAAGGGAAACGTATGACTGCCCAGGCCCAAACATACCCACCCCGTTTGTCCCAACTCCTGGCCAAGATCCTTTGCAGTGCTGCGGTTTACCGACGGGCTTGCCTCTATTCAATCAACTCATAAGCTCACTACCTTTCGGGACGATTTGGGAATCAGCTAACGCATAATGCCGAGTATATACTTTTTAGCGTTCTCATGTCCAGTTGAGGGCCAGCTCGTGAAGACGGTGGCAGAGTTGATTAGACACATTGCTGATCGAAAAACAGAGTGCAGGCCTCTCATGTTAGTGCGGAGTGTGCTTGCAAACGGGCACGGGATTGAGGGGCCCAACGACGTGTTCACCGTGCTCCCCTGTATTCCATGATATATAGTCGCTCAAGCTTCCCTCCCCCCTCTCCCTCTCTTGCGCTGTGCCGTCGTTTACTCCACGCTTCAATGGGGAATCAGCTAACGCATAATGCCGAGTATATATTCTTTAGCGTTCTCATGTCCAGTTGAGGGCCAGCTCGTGAAGACGGTGGCAGAGTTGATTAGACACATTGCTGATCGAAAAACAGAGTGCAGGCCTCTCATGAATAAGAAGAAGCGAAACAACAAGAATAATACAACTCTGAAGCAGGACCTAGCGGAGGAGGGGTGGAGGAGGAGGGGGAGGAAAATGACGGCGACGACGATGACAATGGCAAAGAAGAGTAATAACGCGTAAGAAAAGCAATAATCATATTTGCCCCCAAAACAATCGTATCTTACATTACATGCGGTGCAATCTATGTGTTGCAATCGATGTGCTACAATCTAAATGGTGCAAGCCATGTAGCGCCATCGTTTGGCGCAAAGCAGCTCGAAGCAATGCATTTCAATGCATTGCAACGCAATGCAAAAGAATGCATTGCAATGCAAAGTCGCGCAACGTATTGCAAGTCAATGCAAAACAAAACGAAGAAATGCGTAGCAATGCAAAGCAATGCGAAGCAGCACAATACAGTGCAAAGCACCTCGGAGCGATGCAATGCAAGTCCTTGCGAAGCAATGCAAATCATTGCATTGCAATGAGCGGCACTGCAAAGCAATGCAAGGCAACGCAAAGCAGCGCAACTTAATGCAAAACAGTACGAAGCATTGCACACCAATGCAAATCAATGCCAAGTAGCGCAATGCAATGCAAAGCAATGCGTACCAATGCAGTGCAATGCAAAGCTACGCATTGCAATGCAAGAAAATATGACAGGCAAGAAAAAGCAATGCGAAGCAATGCAAAGCTATGCAAAGCAGCACCAAGTTGTGCAATGCAACACAACACGCGAAGCGCTGCACGGGAACGCAAAGCAATGTTACGCATTGCAGAACAATGCGTAGCAATGCACTTGAATGGACAGCAATGCGTTGGCGATGCAAGCCAACGCAAAATAATGCAACGCGGCGCAAGTATGCAACATAATGCACAGCAGCGCGGCGGCAGGCGGCGACGAGCCGGTTGGCCCGCCACTGGGCCCCAGCGGCGACGGCGGCGACGGGCGGCGACGGGCCAGCAGGACCGCCACCAGGGCCCAGCGGCGACGGGCGGCGTTGAGCCGGCTGGGCCGCCATCTGGGCCCAGCTACTTTGGAGCATAGGCAAGAGACCCTGAGTACAAGCTCTGTTTGGGGAGGAAGAGGGTAGAGAAGAAACATAAGAATATGGATCAGGAGAAGACGAAAAAAGGAGAAGAAGAAGAGCACAAGGACGGCAGCGAAGACCTGAAGAAACACGACGCACACCGTTGAGGCTTCTCCCGAAACCGCAGAAACAGGAGCAGTTGGAGGAGGAGGAGCGGCGGCAGAATCAACAGCGGGGAACGGCGGAGGAGGGAGGGAAGCAACAGCAGGAGGAGGACGACAGCGAAGACTTGGAAGCACATGGTTGGCACCGTTGCGGCTTCTGCCACGCCGCAGAAACACGAGGAGCAGAAGGAAGCGGAGGAGGACCAGTGTCAGCAGCTCGGCAGCGGGGGAAAGCGGAGGAGGAAGGGAAGCCGCAGCAGCAAGGGGCGCTGCAGCCGCGGCAGCAATAGTGGGGGAGGGATGAGCGGCAGCGGCGCCGCACATCCACCGGACCTGCGTTTTGCGGATGTATGCCTCTTCCGCCTTGCCTCTGACTTCGGGCCGGTGCTCCGAAGAGGCGGCCAGGCGCTAACTGGAGGAACCTCCTCCTGCTCCCCCTGCTCCCCCTGTTCCCCCCTCCCTCTCTTAGGTGTAAGGTCGCGGGACCCTCGAGGTGTCGAAGAATAAGTTTTTGTTTTTCTTGTTTCGTTCTAGTTTTGTTCTAATTCTGTTCTAGTTTTGTTTCGAAGCACATGCGTCACGGGAGGGTCCCTGGACCTTACACCTAACCTCTCCCGCACTCCTCAGCTCCCCTCCGCTCGTCCTCCTACAAGCGCACAGGGTCGGGAGCGTCTGCGCAGCGTGTGTCGCACCGCCGGGTCTGGCCCGCCGCGCCTCGGCGCGACGCGCTGAGCACGCCCCGATTCCCAAGCGTGCGTTGCCCAGCCGCCCGCCCCGCGGGGCGGAGCGGCGCGCTGCCCGCTCGCAGAGCACCCAGTTCGCAGGGGCCTCCGCCTCGACACCGCTGTGCAACACAAAAATCCTGGCCGTATGGGGCCCTTACATCCCTCAAGCAGTGGCGGAGCTTCCTGACTTGCTTATAAATGCCAAGCCAGAAATGTGTCAGGGGTGGTGTGCACGACATGTTAGTCGAGCGTGTCAGGCTGAGACAGCCTCGGCTCAACTAATCGGATCTACGTTCTAAGAGCACGTGCTTGGTTCTTAGAACCTTTTTGTTTGTTCTGCGAAGGTTTCGAGGGAGGCCCATAGGAATGCCGGGACGGTCGGTCCCTGCTCAAGTCTCGCCCGTCCGTAGCCATGTTGGCTCAAGGAACCCTGCTGCCCGAATTTACCCCTCGCCCCCTGCCGGCGCTGGGCCGCTCGCCATGCCGGGCGAGGCCAACAAGGTGTTCGTCGGGGGCCTGCCACAGAACTGCCCGACCGAGGCGCTGACGGACTACTTCAGCCAGTTCGGCACAATCTCCGCAGAAGGCACCTGCACACCACCTCACGGTCGGGAGGTCCTGGATACGGCTGGGCCGGGGTACAAGCTCGAGGTCGGCTCGGGGAGGGTAGGCTGATGTTCTTCGTGGTTGTTGGATGCTCTTCGTGCAACCTCGGAAGGGTATGCCCTTTCAGATTCTGTGCGTTTTGGCCGGCGGAGGGTCTCTTGGTCGAGGGGAATGATCTTCCGGCCTTGGTCCGACTGCAGAGCTCTGGCCACCAACGCTTCGGCGCGACACGCGATATCCCTTTTCCAGCCCCCAGGCGTCAACGTCCCGAGCTTTTCGGCCCTCCCGCCCGCGAAGTGGAGCGAGAAGCTATCCACTCGCAGGGCACATCGTGTCGCCTGGGCCGCCGTGGCGACACGCTATCCAAAAGTTCCGACCGTAGATTCCACATCGGCGCTGGTATCTCCGTGGTCGAGCACCAGCCGAATTCGACACAGTCCCGCTTAATCTAGTTTAATACCACGTGATCTTGGGCTTCATCTGGCTTACTAATCTGGCTTGGTGGCCCTTCAATCGGGCTGAATGCTTCACAGTCGTTCTCACGAGGACCTCCCAGAAGTTGCATCCTCAACCATCGTAGTGGCCTGGCCAGGGGCCTCGACTGGCGTATAGTGCGCCCTCTTGTCACCAGGGCGGTCTAGTCTCCAATCAGTGCTTCCGGGGGCGGCCAAGCGGGGCATGATGACCAGGGGGGATGGATATCATGAACGGGGCCATGATAACTCCCTGGATGTCATGGTCCTTTTTCTTATTCTTGACGTTTTGCGTAACACCGTCAGCCCATTCAGAAACGATGCCCAGGCGAGTTGCCCTGACGGAGCACGCAGTGTGATAGAGGGCTGGGAAAGCTGGTCATACCCATCCAGGGGGAGAATGGAGGAGGAATCGGAGGAGGAGGAGGAGGAGGAGGGGAGGGGAAGGAGGGCGGAGGGAGGAGGGAGGAAGAGGAATAGGCGGATGGGGAAGATGAAGATGGGGAGGGCGAGCAGAAAGGCCAGAGGTGGATGCCTCTAGGAGTCTCTCCGGATGTCTCTTGAGAGCTTCTTGGAGTGCTTTTGGGGCGTCTTGGGGGCCTCTTAGCGTTCCTGGGGGCCTCTCGGAGCGTCTTGGGTGCCTCGGGGGGAGCCCGTGGGGCCTCTCGAGGATCTCTTGGGAGCCT